TAGCTCAGAACGATTTCGACAAAACACTAGGTTTGCGAACACAAACACAATAACTATATTAAGGTATAACTATAACTATAACTTTCTCCTCCAAAAAAAAACATCCCTACAAATCGACAAAATTGAACCGAAAAATCCGTATACTGGCAAAAAATGTTGAAAAACTGTACAAATCCGCCATAAATATTAAAATATCCGTACGAATCCGTATAAACTAGTACCTAAATATAATCCGATCAGTACAGATGATTTGACGAAAAAATCTTAGAAATTCCGTACTGTGCCGATGAAATCCGTACGTCTGGTCACCTTAAACTATATCGACCATTCCACACGAAATCAGTTGGAAATTGAATCTTCGAATTGGCTGAAAATCTCTCTTCTTACTCAGTTAGGCATTTCTGCTTGTTGCTGCATTTGTTGTGCGTATCATTCATTTGCAGTCAATTTTTGGAAGAGGAATACCAAGGGAGAAACATTGCAATAAACGAAAAATTCTGTGATAGCTTACGGTTAATTACTGTAAAATGCGCAATTAATTAATTGGGAGAAGTTATTCAAAGAAATTCAAACTAATTTTCGCCACAAAAGATGAAAAAAGCGCGTTTTTCCTGTGCAAAAATATTATCGAATCAATAGAAAAATTCTGTTCAAAAGCGGTTGAGTGCATGCAATTGTTGAATTATCTTTTTCTGTACATTTCATGGAATTTTTGAGAGATTTTTGATTACTTCCATTTCATCATTTGCAATTTATTTTGAAGTAGTGATTTGTTCTAGAATTTCGTTCGTTTCAAATCGCTTAAATACTTGTTTCGCATTGACAGAAGATTGCATTAATACTCTTTCTCGAACCGAAAGAGAAGAAAGAGGAAAGTAGATAAACGGTTAAAGGCGTATGTAAAATAGAGTGCAAATTTTGGATGGTACCACTAACTGTGTTTAATCACTTAATGGTGCATTTTTTTCAGTTAACGTACAATGCAATACAATGTATGTAGCAATATTCGTGTCTCCCGTACATGTAATGCATTAGCGTACACCGCACACATACACGCACGCATCGACGAGAGACACACATATGCGGTGCGATTTTGGTGTTATCGCGAGTGTTCTTGTATAATTCACGGCGCATATTAACCCTCTAATGCATACAACCGCCTCTAGACGGGCAACATTTGAACGCCTGTAGAACGTAAACCGTACATCGGATCACATTGCTTCAAAAAGAATTTTTATTCGTCAATGTTCTCTCTCTATTTTTGTCTATGTAGTGTGATTGTAAAGTTATAAACAAAAATGTGTGCAAAAACCAAAATTTGACTAAATAAATTATTCGAACTCGAAATTAGACCGATTTTTGACACTTTTAAACAATGGATTTGTTTGTTCTCTGATTTATGTCAATCGCATTTTCTGACTAAACCATGAGCAATCCAGGATTATGAATATTTTTTTAATTATCTATGGCCAAAAATCAACCAAGTACCAGTACTGGGAGTACTGGGAAAAATTAATGCATTAGAGGGTTAAACAGATGACAGTGTGGAACTATGCAGAATTCAATCTCTCTATCACGGTTAGCTCTTCTGCTCACTTTGACGTGACAGACAATGCCAATGGTGTGCGATACATTTGGCAGTGATTTTTGGTATACATACACTCTGCTCTTGTCCCTGTGTCCTAGGGGAATATCACGAAATTTTTATTCACAAAACTTATTTTTATCTCCAATCCAATAAAATCTATGTTATTTCAAATATTTCGCAAAATCTGTATTATTTACTCATATTCACCATGTGAAATATGGTGAGATATTTGAGATTCTGCTGAATACTTTAACATATGCAGAGTATTTCAGAAATGGCGAATTTCCAGCTCCAAACTATCGGTTTCTTTGTTCGCGCAATTGTATTAATTTTGAAGATAAATGTGAATTTTTCCAGATTTGTGAAGATATGTTCAGATATGTGGCGTCTAGTAAGCACGCCCGAACTGTCAAATTTTCAAAACTTAATATCTATGGATATTTATGGATATTTTGAATATTGTATTGAAGAATACACAGAACTTCAAATGATAAACTTACAATTCACTATGCAAAATGTCACTATACCGATTTACCCAGCCGTTTTCGAGATATTTCCATGTGTACATTTGGCACGTTATCAACTTATCATAATTTTGAAACAGACTGCATCAAGCCCGAAATTAGATTCAAAGAGAAACAACACCAATTTGAGAAACAAAGTGCCACAAAGCAAGTTTCGGCTTTAAACTGCAACATGATTTTTTATGTTGCACTTTGTTTCTCACATTTGCTTTGTATTGCTTTGGTTCAAAAACTTGCGTTGTTGCTCTTTGTTCGACATACCTTACCGACAAATGCGAACACACGCCAGTATAGAAGATGTGCGTTGGAATTACAGCGCATACCTCTTCACGCGGGCACATCTATGATTCAGGACAACAACAAATTTTTATGAAAAAACTCGAAATATTTATTTATTTAAGCACGATAAAACAGCGAAATATTTACGTTATATTTACGAAAAATGATCGAACGATTTACGATAAAGCTAATATTGCCAAAATATTGACGAAACAATTTACAAAATTTTTTTTAGGAAAGAAAGGAAATTTAAATAAAGTTCAATTTTATGAATAAAAAAATCTTAGATAAAATAAAATTCGTAAAATGATTTATTATTATTTATTTTTGTTTAAAATTGACTAAAAACGTGTACGAAAAAAACGCTTAAAATCTTGAAATATTCTCGAAAAATACAAAAATCGTGAAATATTCATTTACCACCAGAAAGTGCCGAAATATTAAATATTTATTTGAATATGTTTTGTTGCCCTGAAGATATCTTGTCCACGTTGATGGGAAAATACCATTTCATCCGAAAATTGATCGATGTTCATTTTTCTATGAGGCTTGATTGATTTGACGAAAGATTGACTATTTGCAATTCGACTTGCGTTTTTTTTTTTCTATTTGATATTTGACGTTTTACTTTAAATGCTAATATTCAACTAAAAAAAATTTACTACGCAAATAAAAATGGATTATAGACGCCGGAAAAATGAATAGGGATGCATTTTGAAAAAAAAAAATGCAATTTTTTCATCAAGCTGGACAAGAAATCATTGTGTATGTGGACAGTGGAAAACGCGGACTATGTTTCAAGCACGTAGATCTATGCGCCGTGATTCCGTGATACGCGCATAGAAGAAAAAAATTCTTTGAAGTCGGCCTGATTGTTTGATAAACATGTGGCAAATACTATTTGGGTATTATTTGTATGTGTGTTTTTTTTTCTCTTTTTCTCGCTTATACGTCAACTATTTCTGGTTTCAAAGATGAATAAATAATAATTTGATAGTTTTTATTTTTAAATTAGAATTGTTGTGCGCAATAAAATAATAAAAATAACATCAACAATGTCAATTTTTGTTAGTTCGATTGCTATCATCACTATCATGTACAACAACGTGTCAGTATAACATTGAATTTTCCATATGTTTTGGTTTTGTTTTATTTAATGGCATTGAGTTTAACGTTCAAATAATTGGTTTCCTTGTGAATTTCTCATTTGGTTTCATTGATATTTACATTCAAGTTTTTTTAATGTAAGTTTAAAATTCTGTTTTTTTTTTGCACATTTTCTCATGAACTTTGTTCGATTTTTGTTGGTTTGTATTTTACGTTTAGGTTCGAATCTCGAAGTTTTCGATTATTTTTTTTTTTGACATATTGATAGACATTTTTTGTTGGTTTTAAATCTCATATACAGCAAAATATACATTTAAAAATTAAAAATGAATGTGTGTCAGTTTAGGCCTCCGTTTCACCACCTTTGAGTCGCAATCGGGCGAAATCCTCAAATATGATATCATCGTCCTTGTAATCGTCATCACTGTTGTTTTGTTGGAAAATCAAAAGAGTTAAATATTATTGCTGTCGTTTACTAATCTAACTCATGAAATATTCTTTTTCTTACCCAAATTGGATGAGATTTCCAGTGTTAACTTGATTGGTTGCATTTTCATTAGCATCATCACTTCGTTGACCGGTCGAATGTTTGCTTGAACGATCAGCTAGTATTGGATTTGGTTCTTCTTCTTCAGGCTTTGGATGCATTAAAATAAATGGCAACTCGGCAACAAGGTCTCTATGCGGAGAAAATGAATGCGAATGCAAATGAAAGATTAAATGCCATTATAAAATGAGCGATGAAAGCGATTCAGAGCAAGGTTTGTTTGTACTCACCCTCCTAAAATTGGACCACCAATACAGAGCTTAACTTTGACTTTATACTGAACAATAATGCCCAGATTTTCTCTTTGCGATGGGTCGGAAATTCTGAAACGATAACATAATCATAAATTGAAACAGGAACCGGAAGAAAGGGAGATGGAGAGAGATAGAGATGGAAAAAAGTCCAATGAGAATTTTGATCTACATTGAATATGGTTTTCCATTTCCATATGATCTGAATGTGTATTTTTCAACTGAAATTGGCACGATGCACGGAAGCGAATTAACGCAATAATATTTCTTCTTTTTTTCTCATTGTAAAATATAAAGAGCCGACCCTGGACACAACGAGGATAGAGGGCAAAAACACATAATAATGCAAAAATCAGAATTGCAAAACGTAGAGATAGAAAAAAAAGAGAGAAAGAGAATATGAATAGAAGGAGGAACATAATCACTTCTTTTTTTTTCGATAGAAAATTGGCATAGCTTTTACACACATACACACATTTATGGTGTTGATATGATAGAAGTAACAAACCTATAACTACCATTCTCCAAATGGCAAGACCTGTATCAGATGTATTTTTCCTTTTTTTTTATATTCGCTTTGTTTTCCTTTGTAATCCCTTTCAAGAACACGGCACATATGCTATGATATCTCATTCACCATGCATACAATTCAAAGTGGGTCAATGGCAATATAAATCGCACATCATACATCACACAATCCATTTAAATGAATGGATTTATAGAGAATTGGTTCATATCTATTGATGATTTTGAGAGGCATGCAACTAATTTTGTTGTTATTGTACTTTTCAGGAGTACGCATGATAAAACAAAATGTGACTTTATCATAACGAAAATGAACGTACTGTGCTATAAATTATATAATTAAAAAGAAAAATGGCAAAATAATTCATTCTTCGAAAATCATTGGAGAAACAAAGAAATTTAAATCAATTTAAAGTGAGTATCTTTTGCCAGTTTTAACCATTTACTCATAAATAACTGTTGATAGGAAAATATAGTGTCAACAGCCGCACCATGATATCAACACTTGGCATTTCTTTTTATCAACAATTCAGAAATCGTCATAAGGTTCATGTTGAAAACTCTGGTTGCTATCGCACATATTTCTCATCTATGGAATTTTTTGTATGTATACATTAAAATGTAATATGTTTATATAATAATATAATAACCTATTTCCATATTTTCTTTCTATTTCTGCACAATAAATTCAGCCAAAACTCTTTCTTTCCTCCGCCTTGCACATACTATACTTTTGCAGAGTATGTGATGTATGTGTTTGGGTTTCATGTTTCTCTTCATTTAACAATATATTCACTAAGGTGAGTGACATGCTTAAAAAAAAAAACCATTGTCACCATGAAAGTCCATTTGAAAGTCAAGAGAAGCGGAAAATCTTTATTTGAAAAGTTAAGGAGCCATGTAGATTGTACAGTGTACACACAGTAAACGATGGTATTGTTGCGCATAAACTCGTTTATGTGTGGATGGACGCGCGAGCACAACACACGACATGGAGATAAAAATGTACAATATTTAGTGTGTAATATATGAAATTGAAGCTCCGTGGATTAATGTTCATCAAAGTCAATGAATGAAACATGTATTTTCAATTCAAAAACAACCAATTAAAAAGGTTCTTTTAAAAGTCGATTTCATAATTAGGCTGATCATCGAAAATTCGTCGATATCAGATGATATATCTATATGCAGAATCGATTAATACATAAATGGCAAAATCAAACCAAATGGAACAGAAAAATCAATAAATATGCATTTTCATTTGTAAAGAAGAGATAGAATCTCGCCTTGTGTTAATTGAAAAATTCAATCAATTTAATACTATCAAATCGAAAATTGTGGATTTGAAACTCAATTTTTTTGCTTAGAATAACGACCATTGCTATTGCTCGCTATGTAATCAATTTCGTTTCATATCTCTCTTTCTCCCTCTAAATTTTTCTATGTGTTTGAGTGAGTACTTACAGTGTGCTCGAGGCTAAATTAGTGTCTTCGTGCTTCAGTTGACCATCCAATGCTAATCCCCATTTATCTTTATTGTTTGCCAACAATGGCGTCAGCTCGAATACTTTGGATAACGTGAAACCTGGTTGAATGGTGCTTCCCTCCCTTTGCATGTGTGTGTGTTTGTGTGCATTTTATGTTTTTGTATGTATGAGAGTGGTCAATGCACATTCATCGAAAAGGCAAAAAAGTAAAAAAAAAAGAGAGTATACAATGTGAAAAATGCATTAATTCAATGTCTTTCTGCTTGTCATTTTGTTTAAGCAAGTGCTTTAGTGTGTCACAGTATTTGTTCTATTATTTGATCAATTTTATAGGAGAAGAAAAAAAGCAGTATTTATATTGAAATCCCACAGAAACACACAAAGAGACACACGAATAGAGCCACACTTACTCGTTTTCTACTTCGGCAACGGTGCATTTGTATTGTGCGGTTGAAAACAGGCAAATATCAGCAAATTGACGCACTGAAACCTTAATTTTTTTCACAGTTCGATTCGAATTATTTGCTACATGAACGTTTACCGAAATCGTTTCACCGTGATGGTATAACTAATCGTGTCAATAAACATAGATGTGAGAATGGATAAGATGATTTGAATGGTTTGGAGCGAAAATGTAATACAGAAAAGTTGAGCGCAAAAATGTCGATGATGAATGAGCGGAAAAGGGATAGCTATATGGTATACTGTATAGTAAACTATATTGAACTATATAGCTATCCCTTTTTATTTGACATTTTTCCGCTCAACTTTTTTGTATTATATTTTCGCTCCAAACCATTCATTTGTAACATTTGTTTCTCAATTTATTCGAAGTTGTTTCTCAACTCATTCACTTACCTCCTTGTCAAGACTAGCTTCTAGGTGAATTTTATTTGGTTTCATCATAAATTCTTTACTAACTTCAATTGAAGGCTGTTCACCAAGTTTTGATGGTGCATACATTATTTTTCGAATAGCCAATCGCACGGAATTTCGCTTATGCGGCTTATCTTCGATATGATCACCGACGAATGCTTTTAATTCATAGTCCACGCCACACGGTTTGCCTGTGTAATGAATTAGATTGACTGGTTGAATAATTTGCCTTACATACAATTATTATGAAAAAAAAAAACAAAAAACAAATGGTATTACACGCATACCTGTGTCGCCTGGCGCTGGTTGTAATGACACACTGGCCGGACAGTGTGGCGGTACTTCAAAATAAAATGGAAATGCATAATTGCCCAATTTTTTAATCAAACGCTCTTGCAGTCGCGTCAATGGTCGGTCTTTATTCAATTGCGGATAAATCTAAATTGTGTTGGGGTTTGAAACATGAGTTTTGGTCCATTGTTACAGAAATAGATATCTACTGAATTTTACACTACCTGCTCTTGTGCTAAATACAAATCTTTTCGAAACGTTAGCCCAAGCACGTCCAAGTCTTCCCGACCATAACGGAAGGCAGCAAGTACATTTCCAAATACTTTGCGTTCCTTCACATAATCCGGATCAATTAGAACAACTCCATCGATGGGATCGACATGGGATATGTGATCTACAAAATCTCGTTTTCCCAAGTAAACGGTAATTTTACCATTCGATGAGCTTTTCTTGAAAACTCTATACACACACGCACGCACAAAACCACAGAATTTTAATTAAAAAATCACATACCTATCGGCTTAAAAACTATGGAAGCCGAGAAAAAAAATTTGGACTGGGCTGTCCGAATTGATTACCTTGTTGCTTGTCGTCTCGAGCTGCCATCATCCAAATCGGCATCGGGCGATGGTGCCAGTGATCGGGAAGCGTTTGTTTTCGGAGCAGTTGTTAAATTGGATGACGCTGTTTTGTCCATTGCAAATTGTACTATGGATGGGCTACGATGTGTCTTATTCTTCTGTTACACAAAACACCGCTATAACGGAAAGGAAAATATCCAAATATCACCAATTAAAGTATGATTCAATTTATAGTTTCGTTAAGTGGTCTTGGTCACGGTCCCACAGAGAATGCGAATATGGAAATATTGTGTTCGTGTGTGTTTCTTTCATACAAATTCGAATAGAGTTTGTAATGTGACACATCCGTTGATTGCTGGGCTATTGATAATAAAACAGCAAGCAGAGAGAGAGGGAGGGAGAAAGCAAACGAACGACCGAAAGCGAAAAGGAGGGAAAGAGCGTACATAAGAACGAAATAGTAGTTGGTCATCTTTTCCAACAAAATGATTCATTGGGAGCCACACTCATTCGTGTATGACCCGGATCCGGTTGCGATATAAATATTTTATTTGACATTTTTGAGCTATTTATTTAATGAGACGAAAAATTAAATTTCAATTTAAGCAAACCAATTATTTATTTAGAGCAATTAAGATTGTGAATCAATATTTTGTCGCATTCGTTTTGATGGCAAAATGTATTTTATGAGGAAAATGCCATTACTTTGACCTAATAACATTGCCCAACGCACACCCCAACGACATTTAAGTAAGAAGTGAAAAGAAATGGACCATACTCTTTAGTTCATTATTAAATTCAATCAGACCACAACTTATACAAAGGGATGAAAGTATAAATAAAAATGGTGTTCTGCTTGATATGGCATAGAAAACCACATAAGCTTGTCAATTCTGATTTGTTCATTGAATAAATAAACGCAGATTTCATAAGCTCCGAGTTCTTTGAGTGTTACACTGACTTGGCTATATAGATGTTATTAGCAATTTACCTGACATGTTTCTCTTTGTTTTCGTGAGAAAATTGGAAATGGAATTTTCAAGGGCGTTGGACAAGATCGAAAGAAACCGAGAGAGTAACCGAACAAGCGAGGGAAATCATCAAAACAAGTCATAGAATTGTGGGGAAGAAAATAAGAGATAGGGAGGGAGGGAGGTAGAGAGAGAGAGAGAGAGAGAAAGAGAGAGAGAGAGAGAGAGAGAATGAGAGAGAAAGCATCACAGAAATTGGTCACATGAGGAGACCAGGCGTCGAGGTGAAAACAAGAAATGCGTCTTTAATTATGTTAGAAAAACACTTGGGAAATAAAATAACATACATGGAGAGAAGGAAGAGTGCGATAGTGAACAGAAATTGTACACTTTATGTATTAAGTTGTTTGTTGATTGCTGAAAGCAGCAGTGAATGTGATTTACAAGCGAGACCAATTTATTTTTATTACGTTTGGCCGTTATTGGTACATATGCTGTTTGGCATGTATGGTTTGATCGGCAACCGACGACAACAACTGCGACGATGACGACAACGACAACGAAATCATCATAGTCATAGTTATTGTATAATGCTCTTCCATGGAAGCGAGCAGCCTTTTTTACGACCGACATTTTCAATTGGTAACCCAGTAACTCTTTCGATTTATCCATGTGCACAATTCGGTTGATTGTATGAGCAGGCGGCGGGCGGGCGCAGGTTGGTCGAACGCGCACGTTACTCAGTGCTATTAGTGTATTCGTATCTGTTTTCGATACAAATCTCATATGGCCAAGCATAAAACAGAAAAATAGAACACACACATTTATACCACACAGCTACAAGCGATAGCAACATTAAATAAGTATAGGATAAGAAATAGAGAGTGAAAAAAACACACGCCACACACCAAAGCCAGCGACATCATCGCTTTTCAGAAGAAGACAAATACGTTGCAATTTGTACGCCCGGTTAATGGAAAAAAGGGGATGCTATATTCGATTTCTTTGCTTCGGTTTTCCGAAAGAAAATAAACGCGAAATTCCCTATTACCTCATGCTTTCACCAAACTTCTGTTTTCTTTGAAATTGCGCTAATTTACACATCCATTTTGCAAAAATAAAAATGAATTTTCTTCCTATCGCTCTATCTACTAGGGAAGGGAGAAAAATACGAAAAATCAATCAGTGTTGTAAATGCAAACATTTCATTTCGTAGTCGATTTTCAATTTGAATGGCCGATATTTGCTTCAAACACATGATTTTTGCAAAAATTATTTTCTTGCGTTTTTTTTTCAGCTCATTGATTTTTTTTTTTGTGTCGGTCGTTTTCTTCATTCGTGAGCATTTCTAATCCACCAACACAAATTTTGTTAAAAACTCATTTCTCATAAATCGTGTAATGTTTGTTTTTTTCTCACTTTCGATATTCCGTGTGCGCTCTCCTTCTCTATCTCTCTTTATCGGCATTGTGCGAATACAGCGAACTAATTTCAAGTGAAAATAAAGCCTGAAAAATATCGGACGTATAAATCCAATCTGGTGTATGTTTATATATACGGTCTGACTAAGGCAAAAGAGAACTGAGCTTAGCTCAACAGGCAATATTATTGAATATTACTTTTTTACGCGTTTGATCTCAATTTAACTGCAAACAAATGTCATCCACATAAACAATGACGTACAACAAGTTTGTGAGCGCTCGCGTTTCACCTATTTCTTTCTTCTTCTATTACTTTGTTTTTTCCTTCTCTTTTATTTCTCTTTTAAATTCCTGTCCTATCTTTGCTGTGCGTTGTATTCTCTCTTTTTTTTTTGCTAATGTTCCTTATCATCAAAGAATCTCAAGTATTTATTCTTCGTGTTTTCCCTTCCGTCTCAACTGCGTTTTATGTGGAAACAAACATTCAATGTAAACAAAATGCTCAGTTTATCGCAACAATTTTAGACTTGAAAAATATTTTTCGACCAATTCGCTTCAATGGATATGAATATCCGTTTGATTTTGTTCTTCTTGGAAACAGTTTTTAATTGCGGACCGCTCGCTGAGTATGTGTAAATGGCTCCGATTCACATTTGATGAATGAATTTCTCTATAATTTATGGGTATCGAATGACAACATCGACATTTTCAATCGGTTCGAACAAATCAAATATCATAATCAATATTTTATTGTCAATTTCGTTTGCATATCGTGTTATTATTTACACTTACTGGGATGGCCTGACAGCTTCGCTCTTTGTTTGCCTACAACTTTGAATACTTGTTGACCGCATACACACCGTACGACCGATAACGCAAACACTGAAGACAACACTCTTTACACTAAACCAAACGAAATTTTTCTGTATATCTATCTCACACTAAAACACTTGCAAAAAAATTCAATTTGATTAGATTTAATAGAGCTCCGTGTAAATTGAAAAATAACTTTTTCTTTCCATTCAACAATTTAACCCGTTCTCTTTTTCGTTCTTTTTCATTTCGATTTTTCGATCGGGATTTTTTTTTCTTCTGTTTGATTCAATTTTCTATCACAATTTTTTTTTATATATTTTAAGAAAAAAAATCGCGTTTCTAATATGAATTTTCTTTTCTCTTCAAACACTTTACTTTACTTGTCTATCGGATCATAGCGCAAAAACTATACAACGATGAACCAAATTTGGTTCGATTTGGTTTTATTCCTTTTTTTTTGCTGTGCTTTTATTGTTGTTGCTTTTGCTTGACTAGACTAACACAAATCAAATGCGAGTAGAAGTGAAAAAAAAAACAGTTCGTTACGAAATTATCGTATCTAATCGGAATTACAAATCGAATGCGTTCTATGCGTTGAATTTTTTACACCATTTATGCTTGTTATTTTGGATGCCATTCTCTCTCACGCTCCATACACTTAAGGTGTTGTGTGTGCACAATAAAAAAAAATTGCGCGAAAATGTCAATTGTGTTTATGAAATGTCAGTGAATTGAATTAGTGTGTGCACTGTGACGGTATGTGTGCATTATAAATTTTGTTCATATCCTCTTGATACCGACCGACCGAGAGCGAAAGAGAGTCGAGACAAATGCATGGAACATTGATACTTGGACTGGTGTTATCGTAATGCGATGACAGGTTCAATATGACATAAAGTGCGCAGCTCCGCCAGAACAGAGCTTTTCCCCGTTGCCCGGTCCGCTCGTTAAAGTGTCAATTCTTCAACAGATGGCGTTACAGTCAAAAAAAAATAATTCTATTTTATTGAAAAATATTCAAGTCTACAGATTTGATTTCCAATTTTGTTGCATTCATTTCGATTAAAATTAACATAATTCTTCGGTAATGTTCCCCGTTTATTCACACAAATCAAATATTATAAGTATAAAAGCATGTTTATGAACACAAGAAAAAAAAAAATCGGTAACGAAGATTGTCGGTTTACAACGGTTTTTCTTTTTCACTTTTCGTTCACAAAAAAATCGTTATTCTACGAATGGTAATATTCAGGCAAATTTCTAAATTGTGTTGCTTTTTTATTTTCTTAATTTTTTTTTCTCTGTATACGTTGATTCTTATCGATTTATCACAAGCGCCGTGTAGTTTTGTATGCTAGCTGTTGCTCCGTCCACTGGCTCATCAGTCGGAATTGAATGCCCACTCGGAACAAGAAAATTAAAGTTTTGTAATAATGTTGTCGTAAATAAGAAAATGTTTGCTCGCGCCATCAATTCGCCCATACAACGATGCTTTCCAACGCCAAATGGAAAATGTCGTTCAGGTATAATGATTTTGCCATCCTTAATAAAACGATCTGGACAAAATTTAAAGCAATTAAAGTCGGGATCTGAATCGGGCCAAATCGTTTTATCAAATGACATTCCATAAAAGCAAGCGATGATCATGGTGTTCTGTAAGTATAAAAATACGATTGTTCAATATATTTCGAATTCACTGGACCAAGTGATTGTCATCGTTTTTCTCGAATAACTGTTTAAAAACTTCAAAATTAACTTACTTTGGGAATATTGAAGCCTCTGAATTTGGTATCACGCAAAGCACGATGTGGAATACCAAATGTGTAGCCCATGAACATACGGATTGCTTCTAGAACGGTGGCCTCGCAGTATGGCATCCTGGACAAAAGAAAAATCGTAAAAATTAATTCATTGTAACGCAGCGCAGGTGTTTTTGAATGGGAAAGAAAGCTTTATTTATGCGTTTTACATACTTTGCACGATCTTCGAGTGTCGGTAAACGATCACGACCAATAACCCGATCGATTTCTTCTTGCATTTTTGCCTGAACATCTGGATTTCGTATGATATGCAACATCAGAAATCCCATTGATTTATTTGTCGTTTCCGAGCCAGCGATAAACATATCCAGACAAACAGCTAACAATTGTTTTTCACTGAAATTGTCCGTGTGTGTGTCGGTACTGTTGATTGCTTGCAAATATACGTCCATTAAATCACGTGGTTCATTTTCCATTTTAAAATTTCGCTTATGATTTTCCAGTTCTTCGCCAAGAAAGCTGTACAGCATTTTATGAATGTCTTTAAATTGCGTGTAACCGGAAAAGTTCGGTGCCAAAAAGCGTAAAAATGGAAAATGACTGAAAAGCGCTCCGACCATATCGATTTTGGTGAACAATGTGTAGAGCATTCCTTGCAAATGTTGAACCTCTTTGTTTTCTTGATTGTAACGAATTCCGGCCATCATTGTCCATAGCGTATTCAACACATAAATATTGAATGCATCACGCATCGAAACCATTGCTCGTCCATTCTGTCGCAGTAACAGCATTTTGAAATCGTTCAACAAATGTTCACTTTCATTTTGTATCATGTCGACCATTCCACGGCGTGCAAAACCAAATTCCTTTAAATGTCGCATAATGAAACGGCGTTGCTCTTGCCAAAATACTTCGTCGACGAGTAGAATGCCACGCCGTAGACCCCATGTTCGTGTTGTGAAAAACGGTCCTGTCGGTCGACCGTCCAAATCTTCATTCGACATCATTTCGAGAATTGCATCGGCCGACACGGCAACAACGATTTTATCTTTGCCCACCTTGAATCCAATCGCACCATTCGATGCATGCTTGTTGGCCATACTCATAGTTGCTTTGCACAGCATTCCAGTTTGTATGCGTTTGTTGTGCATTTCCAATGCACTTCCAATGATAGGATACCATTTCGGGCCGGGTGGAAAATTTGCTGGTTTTACGCCATCCAAATACAGTAAAATCAACAATACGATAACAAAGGAAATGAGGAAGAACCACATATTGAAGAAAAACAATTAAACGAAAAACCAAACGTGTTTCACTCTCCTCTGCTGAATTTTGCGTGTGTGGTTTTTTTTATATGAAAAGAAAAAAAAAAGATATTCAAATTGAAACCAACAAATGAACAAACAAAAAATGGCAACGTATCGAGCCAACTTCCAATTGAATTAATGAACAAACGGAATTTGTGCTATGCCTTTTTATACAGAATTAAACAGTTGATTACTCATAATAATTATAATTAAAAAAATGAATGACTTTATAGTAAGCGATCGCAAATCCAACTTATCGTGGAGATTTCTTAGCATTTAAAATATATGATAAGATGCTTGTATTTCATTAAAATTGGAGCGAATCATATTTTTTGAGAAACATTTTTTAAGAGATGACATAAGAAGTTATTCTCGTAATCGTGGATACAATGGTTTTTCTTGAATTTTATTCGTATTTAAGTCTTGTGATTTTTATGCTTGCAAATGTGTGATGATTGTAGCATTTCAAACTCACTAAATACACATAATTCGAAACGCAAATTATGTAAGTATGCAAGCCGTTAGTTCATAAAATGCGCAAAATGCAATGTGCGCGGGCGCAAATACGCGTAAAACGCGTACCTCTAGCTGTTTGAACCTGAGAGAAAGTCGTTTTTTTTTGCTTGGTATTATTGTTGCCACAACACTTTGGATCATGTTTATTTTTTGCTGCTTCTTTTCTTCTTTTCTTCATGTGCATTTTATTTTATTTTTCATTCATTTTTCCCGTGTGTCTTGGTGCAATTTTTTTTCGTATTTCGTAGCGATTAACTTTTGCTTAGAAATTCATTATAGAATCTGGGCAATCATTTGGTTACACGATCTGTTTCACGTTCCGAAGAGAGAAAAAACAAATCAAACCGAACGATGTTGACTATTATATCACATTGACTCCACAGTGCGACGGTTAAAACATACACAAACACATACACATTTATATATATGTATATACAAATGTACTACAATCGCTTACCAATTACCAAAGAAATGAAGAGAAAATCGTGGAAAGCAATTGTCGCTCTATGAACTGTGTGCGCACAAAAAAGCCAGCCACACGAAGAAGACAAGTACTCCGTGAGTACGCGCTCTTCATTCCCATTGAAAGCAATTGCGAAGAATACGAAATGAAAGAAGCAAAAAGTGCATGTAATTTTATTTTTGCTATTGCATAAGAATCCATTGCAGCGCTAAATTAGATAAAATAAAGTGAAATTTTGCAGTGCTGCCATTGTGTCAATGTGGATAAAAATGAAGTTCGTTACGGATTCAAGATACTCCAGTTCTTGCGAACGGAACTCCGAATTGTGTGTAAGAATAGCCTATTATGACTTTTCAGCTGGCACTGTCACGAAGTAGAACTAAGTTCTATAATGGTATTATTATTATTACTGAGCAACTCACTCCCCGAATATATATGGAAGCCGCACTGCAAATATACTTTTCGTTGTGAATCTCATTCTAAGAAGAAAGACGAACGAAGCGACAGCAACACCAATACACAAGTGATCGTGTGCGATGTGTGATTGTAGTGATTTAGCGTGAATCATATCTGTTGTACTAAACAACAGAAGCACATTTTATCATTTACGTTTGTGAAAAATATTTTTTTCATTCACAAAGTCAAGAAAATTCATTCGTTACGGAATCATTTTTAAAAGTGTGCGCTTGGTCTCACAAAAATCACATTTCAAATATTATTCTAACGCAATTGTATTTGGAAAGAAAAAAAAAACGTCGAAAAAGGCAGCCTGATTGGTGTTGAAAACGGAATGATGTGGCGTATTATTCTGGAGCAGTGTGTAAATTTTCAAAAAATATGTAACGATTTTTTGAACAATATGATACAAAAGCACAGACCGAAAATCTACCCAAATCCACATTCTGCCAGAGATGTTTTTAAATTAGATCACAGAACAAATGCACAAGGACCCCTCCAAATTTTAAACTATACTACCGTAAGAGATATTTGCAATAACCATAAAAAAATGTTTAAACAATTTTCACATGCATTTCTATCTCTTACCGATCACGTCAACAATTGAACTATACGACTGTACGCAACACCAAAGCTGTTATATAATTAAACGGAAAGTGAACAATTACTTTTATGCACCAGCAACACTGCAGCGAGTGTGTTTGTGTCGCAATGTGAACGGCGCTGACACTTACACTATATATTATTTTTTTATTATGTTTTTTTTTATTTATATTGATTTTCTCCAATGATGGAAACTCTTTTCGCGATCGCTTTTACTACACAAACTGTTAGCCGCCGACTAAACAGATTCAAACCAAACCATTCTCTAATATAGATATTTTTCCCGCCACTATTCAATTATAGCTTCATGTGTACGTGTGCAACGTTGGAGTCGCGGAACATACTTTTCGAGGGCAGCAACTCGATCTTCTTCGTTGTTCTTTTTCTTTCGTTTGATATGTTTCTTCTGTTTGAATGGATTGGTATGCAAATTTGATTAAAATATTTCCATTTCGGTATCCTTAAATTGAGTTTTAGCCACATCAAACTCAAATGCTAGAAGAATCAAGTTCAAATCTTTTCAATACAAAAGACAAAGAAAAACTGCATAAATTATCAAATTTGTGATGCTTTATATTTTTGATATACACATACATATTCGTTTTATTGGATACAAAAAATAAACTGTAACATAATTTGTCGCTTCATTTTACTGCAAATGGGTTTTTACTTTTCCGCACGCCCATGTCGTGCGTAATAGTATTGTAATCACTCCGAAACCTAGATACCCCAGAAACCATTTTTTTTAAAATCCATTTTCGACACCAAAGAGCACGATACAGTGGTTATTTTGCTATGTTAATGTAGGTGTGTCGTACCCTGTACGCTGTGCGCAAAAATTTGTTAGCACGATTTCTCAAACACCAGAATAGGAAATAAAATTCTGCAAGTACCAAACGTTTGTGCTTCGTTAGACTTGAAAACCATTAAATTTCCAGCCACCCCAGATGTACCCTAGGATACCTAGCCTATGAAAAATCTTCAAAAAATCGAACTTTTGTTCGGGAGGTATCCAAAATAGGCTCCCAGGTGGATTTTATCACTCCCACTCGATTTATTTCATCAAATTAATAGGGGATCAGGAATAACCTAGCACCCGCCAACCTACATTTTTCGTATCAAATCGGTATAATAATTCAAAATTTCTTGCATTTTCTTTTCGTTTTTAATTTTGCTAAAAATCGCGCTTTTGTATGAGAGTTTCAAATCACTCCTTCGCTCATTAATGTTGTCCTATGGATTCGAAGGGCTGCATATAAATACAATGTAAAAAAGACGCGTTATGATTTTAGTCAAGAAAAATGTGGTTATTTAAAGTATTTTTTTCAACTCGTCACATTTTGTTCCAATTTTTCCAAATCAATATATTTTTGCATTTTCATTTAATAAAGAGATAAAAACATTTGAATCAAATTTAAAACGAATTTTGGTTTAGTTTCTGAAAAACTGCTCAAAATCTTCACACAAAAACAATTCATGATAGACCAAGAGCTGTTGAACAAAGTACTATAAATACAAGCTTTATGTCAGATAATGGAATTGTAGGTGCACATTGATGCCAATATTCAAAATATCAATTTGTTTTATCTTCATTTGATACACATCACAATATCTGCTCGCCGATAACAAGAAAAAAAATTTCTTCACTTTTCGCTCAAGCTTTATGGCAGAATTTTTGTGTACTGATAAATTCGTACGAGAATAATTCAAACACAAAAAATCTGCTCGAAACATTGTACACAACATTTTTTATTTCACAGCAAAGTCTCTTTCTATTCAAAGAAGTGAGGTTATGTTGTAATCATGTCAAAATGGATAAAATGCATTACAAACACATAACCTCACTTCTTTGAATAGAAAGAGACTTTGCTGTGAAATAAAAAATGTTGTGTACAATGTTTGGAGCAGATTTTTTGTGTTTGAATTATTCTCGTACGAATTTATCCTAGGGGGAAAAATCATTTTCTTCATCTTTTATATCCGCACGCATCAAGTAATAACTTAGAAATTCAATGGTATGCATGTAAATCCGAAATATCCATGTATATTCAACAATATTCATCGTGAACGACAAATGAATATTACTGAATATACATAGATATGCCAAATTTACGTGTATAGTATACACGTATACGTATGAAAAATAAAAATAATAGTGAATCAATCCTTCAACCGTAAATTTGATTGATTTTGGTAGATAACGGTGAATATTGGAACATTTTTTGACATTACAGTCTAATGAATATTATTAAATATACATAGAAATTTGAGATTGACGTGCATACCAGTAAATTTGTGCAGATTGTATCGTCAAAAAATGTTCCAATATTCATCGTTATCCACCAAAAACCTTCAAAAGTGGTTCAAATTTTCGGTTGAAGGTTTGATTCACTATTATTTTTATTTTTTCAGAGTTATTTGCGTTCTGCAAAATCGCGTGAAGCCCCTAGAATTGATCAGTAAACAAAAACTCTGCCATAAAGCTTGAGCGAAAAGTGAAGCAATTTTTTTTCTTGTTATCGGCGAGCAGATATTGTGATGTGTATCAAATGAAGATAAAACAAATTGATATTTTGAATATTGGCCTTAATGTGCACCTACAATTCCATTATCTGACATGAAGCTTGTATTTATATTACTTTGTTCAACAGCTCTTGGTCTATGAAACAAAAAATTATACAGAACATGTTCAATCGAAGAAAAAAATAAAATGTTCTTTAAATTGAACATTAGTCGATGTGCGATGCGATGTGATGTCAACCTTATAAAAAGCGCACACAGTCACACATTCCATTGACAGCTTCGCCAGCGAAATTTGTGTGGGGAAATTCTTATAAATATCCTAGGCAAAATCTGAATAAAAGCTGAACGTTTTGAAAACGGTGCCGAAAAGTTCGTCTTACGGAGGTAAGACTATTTATTTTCTTTCGTTTTGCAAATGAATTGATTTCATTCCGTACAATCGAGTATAATTTCTGCCAAAAATCCATCGTTTTACACGTGTGGCGGCTGTTGAACGTCAAAGTCATTTGAGGCGACGCGAGCGCCCCCAATTTCAAAGGGCACATCAATGTAATTTAACATTTCAAATCGCAACTAAACAGCGCGCCAATTCGAAATATAGGAAAATATAGTGTCAACAGCCGCACCATGGTTTTACATTACAATTATTTGTTCATTAAATTCGATATTCCATATATCTTTTTAATTTGTCGGCATCCAATGATCTTGTTTGTCAATACTTACGTTGCTTTCATTTACTGGGAAATATGTTTTCTGACGAAAAGTATTTTGAATTGAATTGAACTGTTGGATTAAAAAAAGCAATATAAGTAATGAAATATATTTATATTTCGTATACGAAGAAACAAAATTAAAACCCGAGATTGAAATACAATAATATTCATTTAGGAATAAATGATAAAAATAATAATTTTGCTTCATTTTGTATCAAAAAACAATTTCATTAATTTCGTGAATGATTAACGCAAAATGCGTAATTTAAATTCCTTGCCGAACATTTGAACTTTTTCGTATTGTGATTGCTGAATTCCGCTTGGAAATCCGAGTTTTGGCCAAATGTAATAATAAATATAAACCAATGCAATTCAAGTCGCGCTTCAACGTTTACATACAAACTTTCCATGTATACAGTCTAAAATGGCCGAAAATCACCGATAATTTATCGCAACGGTTCATTTGCTCTAGTTCTAAGTAAGCGTAAGCACCAATGATCACATCATATTTTTTAAACTTTAAATCGATTATTTAATTTATTTCATATATTTATATTTTCGTCGTCTTTTTTGCTATTTCTTCCTTTCGATATTTTATTTCTATTAGGTGAAGAATGTTATTGGGATTTTTCCTCTTTTCAACACCATTATAAATCAATAAAAATAAAAATAAAATAAATGATATAAATGCCAAGCAAAAATCCACACTGAATCCAACTTATTACTTATTACTTATTACTGTAATTTCATACAAAAATCATGTCAAATTTTGCAAGACACATTTTTTTTCAACATTTTTTCGTCTGACAAAAATTGACATGTTTTTTACATGAAACTATTTTTGCGATTTGTTTTTGCACCAAAAGTAATAAGATACTTATTACAATCTTATTACAATCATCTTATATGGACTTATTACTTATTATGCATCTTATTGCAAAGTAATAAGATGAGTAATAAGTAATAGGTCATCTTATTACAGTAATAAGTAGGTAATAAAGTAATAAGAATTACATTTTTTTTACTTCTATAACGAATCGCTAAATAGAGTGCAATGCCACATTTAAGCGTGTAACGACAAGTCCGCTGCTTCATTGAGTGTATGTAATATTTATATCACAGTTTGTTTTTTTTTTCGTTCATACATAGTCATTTATATATAGCTTGTAAATCCTGTTTATGTGTTCCATCAACGTGTCGCTAAATAACAAAATGTGTTCTGTTTTAACAAACATACGTTTACCGATGGTTCAGCATCTCAGCATTTCGTATCTGCGGATATATCCGAGCATATCGACTACGCAAGTCACTGTATAAGTGGCGTGCGTTGATGTGCATAGCTAAATCGACTATACACAAACAGAGCGTTTTATACACAAACAGAGAGCGTAGTGTTTGTGTGTAGTCGATATAGCTGTGCACATCAACGCACGCCACTTATACATTGACTTGCGTCGTCGATATGCTCGGATATATCCGCAGATACGAAATGCTGAACCAACGGTAAACGTATGTTTGTGTTTTAATGATGTTTGGCTCAGGCGATATTGTGTAAAATTCGCACCGCGATTGGTCGAATAATAAGCAAGAATTTGTCCAGCCAGATGTTTAAGTTTATGACAATATTATGCAAAATTCAACATGAATAATTCAGAAAAATCATCACGCTGCTGAATCTTCTAAGTGGATCTATTTGAAATATGAGATACAATTTTTATATATAAATATTTCGTTTAATTATTCATTTTAATTTTGATCACGAAAAAAAGATTTCGAGATTCACTCACTTCGCTAAGAATGGCCCAATTTCCGTTGTTGGTGTGCACGCGTAATCGAATTTCTCTAATTTTTCCGATTTTCGCATCGATTACTCCTTCAGCGATGCCAACTTCATTAAAGCATCCAACGATTAGGAATCCGTCGGTCGTTGAATTGTAGGCACTCCTGAAAAAGTAGACAGATGTGGAACACTTGAATAAATTTGCGTTGAGCTATTGACTAGAGGGAACGAACGACACAAATTCAAAGATAAGATGGAAATATTGCCAATGTCGAACAAAACGTGCAAATGCGTGCAAATACGACAAACGAATGCTAGAAGATGTATGCGTATTTGCCATTCTTATTCGTGCTCAGCGAGCTCTGCTCACTATGAACGAGACGAAACAACAACAACAATAACATAGACGAGCGCTATGCAAATGCTTACAAATGGACGTGAATATGGCAAATACGTCAAGTCGTTCTTTCCCCCTTGGCTATTGATTAGCTATTTTACCATATATATGCATCTTCTGGCAATGATGCTGGCAAAATTTCCACAGATGTGTTCTTGTTGAAGCAGTCCGATGGATGCTCACTATTACCACTCCGAAATAGATATCTTTTGGGGCAAATCGAATCATTAATTCATTAGACTAAATATTTTACAAAGTGTGATAAATTTCCATAAATTATTAAAACTGAAATAAGAAGAATTACATTCCTGAGAGATGTTGTCTTGTTTTTTCTGCCGTAGACAAAAGGATATTGCAACTTTTTCGACCAGAAAAAACGCCATCTTACGTCGTGCCCGTAAATTATTTTTCTGTACATTTAGATGGTAGAGCTTGAACAAAAGTTCGATACTATGCATAAACTTGGAAAGAGCTTGATAAACTTGATGAAATACATATATTTTATGGTCGTTGCAATACCCCTATGGCCGTAGAAATAATTTCGTTCAGAAATACAACCAATCAAATGCATTTCAAGCAAGCTCACTCGAGAAAAAGTAGAAAACACTTAATTTTCAAAGAAATTTGGAAGAATAGTTTGAATTGAGACCAAAATCATAAGAAAGTAAAGGCTCCGTTGTTAAACATCCCTCATTATTTTCGAAAAATATCAGCATAATCTTTGGCGAAAGAAGTGAAGAAGCATAAACGTCTCTATGAAAACTAGAGGAATTTTTTTCTGCTATGTTTCATCTATGTTTATTACTTATAAGTAGAACATGTATGGATATGTCGGCGTATTTTCAGCGTAAAATGACTTGGAAATATTATGAAAGTAATTTTTACGCTGGAAATACGCTCATCCGTCCATACACATTCTACTTATAAGTAGTTTGCTTCGACTTATACGCTGTCAAAGTAATGTATATGTAGCAATGTTCTACATTGACACCAAAATATTGTCAAACGTACTACTTGCACGCTGATATGTGTGTGCGTCAAGTGAAGCGAGCACTGAGCCTAAATCTGAAACGCACACACGAGCTGAATCGCCAAATATCGCTAAATAACTTGAATTTTGGGTGAAAGTGCGCGGTCAATCACGATTTTTGCGATGCTGATAAGAGATAACCATGGCCAAAAATGTGGTGAAAAAAGCAAAAACAATACAAGTGCTCGTGTGCGCTCTAGTTACTACTAAAACTACTCGTTTTCGGTCGTATTTCAAGCACTGAGCATGTTTGACGCACGCAAATTCAGTTTGCGGTGCGGCCGCTGCTTACTCGGTGCGCTTCTCTGGAAAATGGACATACCTTCTTAAATTATAGGGCTGATGAAAAATAAATTCAACCAAGTCGCCTGGCTGCGGCAAGAGACCCCAAAAGAAATCCTCACCCAAGTATGCACGGTTCAATGTATGACTTTTATACGGATTTATTGGACTTTTTACGGTGGCCGATGGATTCGAATGCGGATAAAATAATGGGATTTTACCGAATTGTGTGTCCTTCAATTTTTGCACTTTGCCACGTAAAGATGAGGTCGTTCCGATGTGCTGGAACAGCGATGGCTTGTAATGCAGCCATAACTTTGCTTTTTCCAATTTGCAATCATTCTATTTTGTTTGAAAAATTAGAAGAAAAATCATTCATATCAATCAAACAATTTTAACCGTAAACCCGTGCAATGCACGGCGTGCATTGCTTTTTCTATTGAAAATGCATTTTCAAATGACCCATAGGTCATTATTTACCTGATCCTTTTCGCAGTTGCAAACTTTTGTATCCATCAAATGGTCGAGTAGCCAATCGACCGGCTTATCGTTGTAGAACATTTGAAAGAATGTGATCAACCACGGAAGTTCAGCCGATTTAAACATTTTGCCTGGAATTAAATCGGAATTGAATCACTAAATAGAGTGAAATACTACATCTACGCATGTGACGACAAGTCCGCTGCTCCATTGAGACCTGAAAAAAATAACAACAAGAACAAGTGCTCACCGATAAAACCAAGCTGACAAAAATCTAAAACGAGCCATGGTTCTTTGCGCACGGTTTTATCCAATGCAAAATCTTTCATAGTTGTAATAAATCCACGCTTGGCGAGAATGTCATCTTCTAATTGCACATAAAACG